GCCCCCCCGAGGGGGCTCGGGAGAAAGGGGGCGCGGGGGTGCCAGAGCCCCGCCCCCCCCCAAAAAGAACAAAAAACCGCCGCGGAAAAATTGGGGGGGGGGTAAGAGGCCCCGCCCCCCCCGGGGGGGGCGGTTGGACAAAAAGGTTTTGGAAACCCCCGGGGGGAAAAGGTGGGGGGGGGGCCGGAACCCCCCCCGCGGAGAAAGAGGCGACCCCCAAATGGTAAGTGCGCTGAGAGAAGCAGTGCCCCCCCCCCCCCCCCCCGCCTCGGCGTGACACCGGGTCGAACGAACCCTCCCGTCGCAGCCAAGACCGCATGAGCGGGTGCAGACGTGACAAAAACTAAACCCTAACCCCGGCACGCAAGGACACACGTACACTTCGCGATGATGCAACAAAGCACAGGATGCCGCATGCTTGAAACGATGGGGGGGTGGGCACTAGTGTTAAGACTGCTTCTCATCCGTACGTCGTCTCGTCTGGGCAAGGCGCATACCTGTAGCTGGCTTCCTGGAACTGGCAGATAGAAGCGAAGACAGGGTCTAAGCAATCGTGGCTCGATTGGTGAGAGATAACCACCAACCGGGAGAGCTCCTCCGACGCCTGCGGGTACCGAACAGGCGAGAGAGGGTTATTAGTTTTGTTATGTGGCCCGCAGGCGGTGGGCAGTGAGATTATCGACCGTATCCCAATGATGAGGACGGAAGGACAGATGGGTGGAAGTGGAGGGGGGGAGAGAGAGAGAGAGAGAGAGAGAGAGAGGGAGAGAGAGAGAGGGTGAACGAGTGAGCCATCGGAGGGGAATGCGGGACGTTTGGCAGGAGGGGGCTCTCCCAATGAACCCTTCAGATCATCCACGCGTCCAACAGATACACACACAACACTGCTGTAATCGGCGATAAAACCCCACCGTCGGGGGAAAGTGTCTTGGGGGGGGGGGGGGGGGGGGTTGAACAACATTTTTCTTTTTGGGTTGGAAAACCCCTTTGCGCCCCCTAAACGCCAAAAAAA